TTTTCCTTTTAGATCTATCCATCCATCATCTAACCATCTATTTATCTATCTTTCTATCTTTTTCTTTTATTAACACTTTCTATTAAATGTCGACCATATATATATATATATATATATATATATATATATGTTATGTGTGTTGTTAATTTCTAAAGAAATAATGAAATATTTTCTTTTTTCCTTATTTAATTTTTTTTAGATATTTCCTGAAAGAATGCCTCGATTGGTAAAGTAGGTTCATCCGTGGTGATTTTAAAATGAGGTGAGACTACTCTACTCTCAGGTGAGACAGCCTTGAACATGCCAGGCTTATCATAAAGTGCCGAAGCTGAACTTGTTAAATCTGCAACACTTTGAGATGCTTTAGCAAATAATTCTGCCTCGTCGTCGTCATTATTATTATTATTATTATTATTATTATTATTGTTATTTTTATTGTTGGGTACATCGAAATGCGTTGAAATTTCCAAAAGTTTTCCATCATCTTTCTTCGTATCGTCATTATTATTTTCTACAAGAATTTTTTTCTCAACAACGTCATCCATGATTTTCATTGGAATTATCGAGGTGGTTTCGTTTTGTTCTTTAATCGTTGTCATCGTTGATTGATTTTCTTCTTTAGTATGATCGTTAATTTCATCGGAATGCAATTTCATTGTAGGATTATTCGATGATTCCGATTGATTTTTTTCAAGGATGATATCATGCGTCGTTTGTCCAATCGACGAGGCCGATGTTGTTACGGCCGAATAAAAACTGGTCTCTTCAGCTGCCATTTCCGTTGCCAATTCTTCCTTATTATTATTATTATTATTATTAGAATTGTTTGATTCCTTATACGTCGATTGTCTGTTTTTGTTAATTGGTCTTCGTCTTATCGACGATGAGAAAACGTTTTCCGATCTAACCGTACTAGATTTCGAATTGTTTTCACTGTCAACTTGTTGTTGCTGTTGTTTGGATCGATTTGGATTACTCGTAGTACTAGAAATTCTACTACGATAAAGATTACTATTGATCGGTCTTCTTTTAGGAATGAATCTACTGATTGGTCGTTCGGTTGTCGACGACGATGTAAAATTCGGTTCATCGAAATTATTTTCCGATTCATTAATCGGAGTTATCGTAGTAGTTCTGTGATTAGTTCTTGACATGTATTTGTATCTACCGGTGCTTTCCTTATTTGAATATTCATTGTTTTGTTGTTGATTATTTGCTTGAGATTTGAAACTTGAGTGTCTTTGTTTAGATTGAGTTGTCTGCGTTGGTTCGGTAGTAGATGTTTGCGCCAATCTGTTCTTATAATCCATTCGTGTTTTATAATCTTTAATACTAAATCTTGGCCTTGTTGTATTGCCAAATCTCATTGGTCGGATTTTAAGTCTTGACGTTGTTGAGGAAACGTGAGAAGATTGTGTAACAGTTTTAACGATCGATGTTGTCGTAGGTGGTGGTGATGATTGTGGTGGTGGTGGTGGTGATGGTGATGGTGTTGTTGTCGTCGTCGTGGTCGTAGTTGTCGGTGTCGTGGTACTGCTTGAAGTCGTAGGTGATGTAGTTGCATCTTTATCGAAATAATAACCATCTGTTTTAACGAATAAGTCCTCGAGAGGTATATTTGTGACAACGTTAGGATTATTATTATTATTATTCTGTCTATGATGATGATGTTGATGATGATGATGATAATTATGATTATTACTATGAGATTTGTCATTATTATTTCTCGTTAATTCGGTTGGATATTCTGATTGAATAACCTCAGTAGTGTCATCTCGGTGATCATCGGTGTATTGGGAAACGGGTGACGTATAATCGTAATACTGATTGTTAGGTAAATTAGAAGTATATCTGTTATCATCGACATATTTCTCCGAATGTTGTTGTTGTTCGGTGTTATCCCTTAAGTTGTTCACCGGTGTTTGAATAATCTCCGTAACAATCTCGGCTTCGTAGGGTTCACCGTGGTTAACTCTGATCCGATTACCAGGACGTTTCCTTATGTTCGGTCGTCTTTCCAAATGCGTTTCCTCGTTGTTAGTTTGTTGGCTCGGTTTTATACGCCTTCGTCTCGAGGGATCAAGCTGTTGCTCCTGCTGTTCATCGTACTTTTCATAGTATTCTCCTCCGGGTATAGTAACGGGTTCTGGAGTGGTCGTTGAAGGGCGTCTTCTACGTTGTCCTCCCGATGATCCTCCTGGCCTACGAGTTCTCGATCTCGAAGTTGTACTTACAGAACTTGGGAATGTTATGGGTTCTGGGGATGCCGTTGTATGCGTTGGCAATTCTTCGACAGGGAAAGTATAAGGAATCAATGTTTCCGGTTGTTGAGTTGGTACTTCAGTCGTTATTCCATTTTCGTAACCTACACTATTCATAGTTGTTACAGGTTTCTTTCTTCTAAGTAGATCACGCGACAATGGTTTTTGTTGTTTCGGAGATTGTAACTCGGTTTCTCGATAATTAACATACTCCTGTTGTGGATTATTCAATTCTTCTTGATAATTATTAAATTGTTGCTGTTGTTCTTGATGTTGATTATAATCAAATTGCGTTTGATATTGTTGATTTTCAAAGCTTGTTTTCAACGGTACTATTGCCGCTTCCGGTTGTTGAATCTATAAGAAATAAACAAAAGTATAAATATTCAATTGATACGAAAAATACGATTTAAAATTAATCTAATGTTCAATTAATTACCTGGGACCCATGGGACTTGTTATTATCTTCGAAAGTATTTTGTTCGTTGTAATGAATTGGCGATTGGGAAGATGTTACTCGGGGGATTTCGTATTGCGAAAATTGTACAGTGTATGGTGTTTGTCCGTTAACAATTTTCGAGAATTCAATTTGTTCGGTAATATTTTTCTCAACGGAATATCCATCGTTGGCACTTTGTTGCCGTTGTTGTTCTTGTTTCTTCTCCTCCTCCTCCTTCTCCTTCTCCTTTTGTTGTTTGATTAATTTTTCTAATTCATCTTGATGTTTCTTTAATTCCTCTTGCTGTTGTCGTTCGATTTCCAATTGTTGCTGACGTTCCTGTTCAGCCAAACGTTCTCTATCACGTTGGACAAGCTGTTGTTGGATGATAAACTGTTGCTCGTTGAAATGTTTCAATGATATACTCTCCGGTGTTTCGTATTCCTGCTGACTCGGCACGATCGAACTCTGATATTGCTGTACTTGAGGTCTCACGTATACCATCTTTGGAACTTGCGGAAGCTGACTTGGTTGTATAACGTCGGGACTAAATTTGTTTGGTGGATTTACTCTGGGTAATACTTCGTTTATATCCGATGTATATTTACTTTTCTGTATGGGCCAGGATTGAGGTGGGGGAGTTAAATCCTGTTGTTCGGATACGTAATAGGTATTGGTAATACCTGAACTTGGTAGAGTATTATCGGGTTGTTTGATGGTAGTACTTTGAACATTTTTATAATACTCATCCTCGCGTAGGACGTCATTCGAATTGAAATATTTCGAAGATGTTTCTTGAATATGTGGTGAAACCGTAGTTGACGATGTACCGATAGTTGAAGTTGAATAAACTTCGGGTGGTAACAACGTGTCATAAGGTATGGAAGGTCTGAAATTATTATTATTGTTGTTGTTGTATTCGTTATAAATCGATGATGGCGTGACGAAACTGAGCTCGTGACTCTCGTGAACGAGAAATGCCGGATCCCTCTCGTAAGATGTTTTGTAATGATTTGTCGGATGATTAACTTGAGTATAAAAGTTACCAGATTGATGATGGCTATGAATTTGCGATGGTTGATATCTTTCATAATTTGGGCGACGTTTATGTTCGGTTATTCTATCATCTTTAACAAAATCACTGCTTAAATCTGAATTAGGTCCTTGTAGATATGGTTTCGCGTTACCTGAAATCTTTAACGATTCGAACGGTTTAGCTGGGTGTCGGGGTGGTTGAAGTATTTGTGGAACACCGGAATAACCATTGAAGAAAGAGGAAGAAGATGACGATGAAGAAGAAGATGAAGAAGAAGAAGAATATGGTCTATTTTTACCACCTGACGTTACTTGAGTTGGATTAACTGTTGATGTGTATCCTTTGATAAAATAAGTTGCAGCTCTAACTGCGTCGGGTATAACTTGATGTACCTGTGGTGGTACGTAAGCAGGTTGTCTCAAAAAATCATTAACTATGGAATAACTGTTGTCTCTAATAACTTTACGTGGTGGTTCGGGATGCTCGAAACGATAAACATCCTTAGGTGGTGGTATCAAAAAAGTATATTCTCGCGTTTCCGATCCAACGTATTTGTTAACGTTAGTATTAACGTGACCTTGTTGTTGTTTTTGCTGTTGGGAAACTTTTTGAGCTTCACCGCGAGCTTTAGCAGCGGCGTTACCAAATACTGTAAAACTTCCAAGTATACTAGGTGGATTATAATCCTGATGAGATGACGTCGACGACGACGACGAAGTACCACCATGTTTGTTTTTATTATTACGATGGGGTTTATGTTTTTCCGATGCTAACATGTGTTCCTGAAGTTTACTTAATACAGGATGCGGTTGTTGTAAATTTCTATCGAGATGATTAACAGCCGGTTGGACGTTTGTACCGATTGAATCTTCATATCCGTTAGCCAATGGTCTCCATCCGTTTGCAATCATTGACGATCGTGTTGGTGACTGTTTGACAACATACAAATATATTCCTTCTTTTTTATTTTGTTATTTTCTTTTTATTTGTGATTTAAATAATAACATCGATTTAAAGTTTCACCGTTTGAAGAAAATATATATATGCGTGTGTGTGTGTGTGTAATAGAGTAAGTATATCTACTTTTACTTCCACGTTGTGAATGACACAGTAGTTATTGAATTGAATTATGAGGTAATATGAAAATTATTAAATATGTGATCGATACAAAAATATAGTATTCAGAGAATCATGGTCTTGGAGAAATGGAATTGGATTGGGATCGAAGTGTATAATAAATACAGTCGTGATGAAAAATCTAGTCGAAGTATTAAACACAAATAATTGAACAATTTACGTGTTAAGAATATTTGTTTTTTTTTTTTATTCGAACGAGACGTGCTTAATAAGAAAAAAAAAAAGAAAAGAAGAATATCATTTCGTTGCGTGTATATATTTTATATTTTTTATTAATTTAATATTTTATATTTACGCTTTGGTGTAAAATTCATTGAAATATTTTCAACAAACAGATTATACATTTCTTTAACATTTTGTATATGTACTCGTGTAAGTATACTTTCACGATAATTTAATAAATAGTAATGTACTTACAGTTTTAATGTCAGAACGGTCTATGGACACGGTAATCGCTCCAACCGTGGTCAACAACCACGTTGCGAGGACATCTAAATTATAACAAATCATTTTCTTAAGATTAACTATGATATTTCAAGCGCGTAATAAAATCTATACAATAATTTTTGTATTGTTGTTGAATCTCTTTAACTTTTTCAATCACAATTACAATTATTTAATGCTTAATATATTTTAAATACAACAAATAATTATTAATATATTATTTATATGATTTTAGATATATAAATTATGCATTATTAGATGAAAAAAAATTTATCACAATAATATAATCGATCGTAAAATAATGTTAGTATTTATTATATGAATCAATGGTACAAATATTTGAAAATATTTCGTTAAAGATAGAAAAAGCAACACTTACATTTTGATATCTGTGTCAACGAAGACATCGTGGCAGACCATGTGATCATTTATTCGAGTATTCTGTAATAGAAAATGATATACATGTTAATATATATATATATGTTTGTGTATGTGTATCTCGTATATTTATTCGCATTAAGGATTAACTGGTTAAATAGAAGTTTAATCGAAAGTTTGAAAAAGTCAGGGTTAATTTCTAATGGAAAGTATATCGTGGAAAGCGGAACAGGATGATAAAGACTAGAGAAAATTTATATAGATCGAAGGTGTTTTTTTTTAGTAAATAGTATATACACACATATATATATATAGATCCTTTATGAAACTAGGAGAAGAGTTGATTTTAATTTTTTCTATCAGAATTATGATACAGGGAGAAAGGAAAGATAGAAAGTCTACTACGATGTTGTCGGACATCTATCACCATCATTTTTAGGGTCGTTTCCGCAACTTGGTTTCTCGGTTATGTATATGTATATATGTATGTATGTATGTATATGTTCTTTCGCGAAGTAATAACGAAATCCAGAAAGTAGAAAGAATTTCACCTTTTACCATTAACACCACTTACGCATTTATATTTATTCATTAAACTCGTTCGATATTAAAGTTCGTATATTACACATTTTTTGTGAATAACTAATTTCTAATTAATATAGAAATTAAATGTAATCTAAAAGAATATTAACAGATTCGTAAAGTATAAAAATGATTAAAATTCGTGATAGAGAATAGATGAACTAAGAAATGTTTGACGAAAATCAATAATTAAAATGGAAAGATGATTGATGATCTTACTTCGATGTTAATCAAAATGAAATTAATTATGAAGTATTATATTTTAAGATAAAGTATGATTGATTGGTCAAATTTTTGATATAAATTGTAAAGTATAAATTAATTTCAATGAAAATAATAAATGAATATTCAAATCGAATAAATGTTGATCATCTTCTTCGTTCTTGATCGATATTAGGATTGTAATCATCTTTGATGTGTGTGTATGTGCAACAATAGTCTCATCAAAGAGAATGGTCATTAAATGAAAATTAGTATGTTCGAATTCCTATGTATTATCTCGTTCGAATCCTTTCACAAATTAGTCTATGCGTATCAGTTTAAATGTCAGTTATCATTTCGTCGAACTACGAAGTATTATAATATATATATATATACAGAAATCGTTTAGGTTCGCTAGCGAAAGGAGAAACAAACCGCGCGTGATACGAGGAATTACTATACCTAACTTTTGTTACGAGAGTTCGTAAAGGGAAAGTTTTATGCTCATTGTTTTACACGATTTCCTTATCCTTTCGAACACAGATTAAAACATTTTCGTTTTTTTGTACAGAACAATAAGAAGAAAGATATTTATATTTTCGTCGTTGTGATATATTTATTTATTTTTTTTGTTTTGTTTTAAATTACGTCACTTCCGATATGACGAACGACCAACCAACCACCATCCAAATTGATCTACGACTTGAACACATCTCTGAGACGAATTTACAATACGTCATTTCCCTGATGAATAGTTCTCCAGTTACGTCATATGTTGGAGAACGACTTTTAACAAATAATAATTTAATTATTTTTCTTCTTCTTTTTTTCTTTTTTTTTTTTTTAATTCAACAATAGGTACATATATATACACCTTCGGACATCTAATAATTTACTCTTGCATTATTTGAACGAAGCTTTTAGAGTATTGTTCGTTCATTATAAAAGAATAATAAACCTAAGTACCTCTATAGCATATTTATTTACTCTAAGGTATTCGATTTTTAAGTATTATCTTGCTTTCATTATAAAATTAACAACCCCAAAAGCTCTCGCTTATTTTTATTTAAAGCTTTTAAACATGCCATTTTAAAGTATTGCGATTAATTATTAAAAAAGTATAAAAACGTTAATAAAATAAAAGAAACTCAAATTTAGCGAAGATCTTTATTTGGAATTTGAAAACATTCTCGATTTCAAACTATCACGTACTTTCGTTACGAAACAAAAATTCAAACTACGCCGCCATTTTTATTTCAAACTACAATAAAATATTACTTCGATTTCCGTCCGTGTTTCCCTTTATTTTTCACTTTACTTATACCTTTTTCCGTTTTCTTTTTACATTCATTCTGATAGAATAATAAAAGAGTTTAGAATCGATTAGTAATTCCACGTAGATTTACACAGAGAAAAATTTGTTTACCCCTTCGTAAAACGTGCCTTTGTTAAAGTTTCAATTTTCTTTCGTGTTAACCTTTTTCCATTTTTTTTCTTTTTCTTTTTATGAGCTTTTAAGAGAACAAAGAGGAAAAATGGAAACACGAGGAAGGAAAGGAGAAATTAAAAAAGAAAAGAAATGAACTGAAATGAAATGAAACGAAACGAAATGAAAAAGATAAGAACAAAATGTCTACCAGGCGCATGCGTAATAAAATTGTTGATTCGTTTGACGACAGTGGCGCCGTCTATGCGCGCAAAATCGACGGTTCTAGACGGAAAATCAATATGGCCGGGCGCATTCAAATTTCAACTCGGTATCCCGTACGAGTTAATTATTTAAAAGCGTGCATCCCCCGTGGACGTTGGTTTCTATCTATCTATCTATCTATCTCTCTCTCTCTCTCTCTATCTTCCTATCCTTCTTTATCTCATACAGATGTACATTTATTCGCTCAATCTCTCTCTCTCTCTCTCTGTCTCTCTTTCGTTATAGCTCGTACGATAAATCCTTCCGTTCCGAGCGTTACGATCGCGATTTCGCGGGAAAAAAAAATTATTCGAAGATTACGGGAGAGGGTAATAAAAGAAAAAATAAATAAATAAAAAACGAGGAAAGAGAACATAAAATAAAAAATTTACGATTATGTTATTACAGATATCTCAATAAAGGTATGAAAATATTTTCTCGATAGTTTTACGATTAAATGGCCACTATTATTCTTTACTTTTATTGTCTATAAAATGTAACGTGTGTTTGTTTTTCTTCTTTTCTTTTCTTTTTTTTTTTGTTAATGTAACTAAAAGAATAGTTCTCAAATAAAACATATATATATATATATTCATATATAATCAAGTTGTTTAATATATACGAATCGTTGATTCTTTCTAAACATTTTTTTTTTGTAGCGAAACAAACGAATTAAAAAAAAAATAAAAAAAAATAACGGACATAACGCGTAACCGAAAACACAAAACAGGAAAAGAAATATTATAATAAATTAAAAAGGACGAGAGGGGGGTGGGGGTGGGAGGAATGGGGATGATATTTCTATCCTTTTTTATCGAAATATGTATAAAGTGAAAGCACGCACATATCTGAAATTTTACGCGTAATGGACTCGAGAATTTCATTAACCACGAACATAAATGCGTACTTTGGAAAGCTCGAGAGCAACCGAGCTAGGAATCTCTCGTTCGACTTTTCGCTTCTAATGGCTTTTCTTTTTTTTTCCTTCTTTTCTTTTTTTTTTTTCTTGCCTTTCTTTTTTATTTCCCCCCTTTCGTCACAACGCGAGACTTTTAATACGAGAGACTAACACATGCGAAAGAGGAAAAAAGGAAGGAAAAAAAAATGAGAGAAATAGATGAAAAAGATAAAGATAAAGATAGAGAGATGCAAATGAGAAATAATAATAATAATAAATAAAAAAAAGAAAAAGAAAAAGATAATGTCAGAAATAAGTAGTCGACGACGTAACAGGCTGTTAAGCAAAGCAGTAATAACAAGTTCTTTTGAAAAATTTGATATCTCTACCTCTCACTTAAGAGTCCACATTTCCGTGTTAGAATTTATTCGAACTCGTTTAAACGTTTCTCGTCCTTGTTTTTCTTTTTTTAATTTTTTTTTTTTGTTACATTTTTACTATAAAACCACTTCTCTCTTTCTCTCTCTCTTTTCATATCTCGAATAATAATACTTTTTATTTGAATTGTACAGGAATTGTTACAACATTTCTTGATTCAAATATATATATAACATCTTTTGTTTTTTTAAATTAATTAACAATTCTTTAATTTTTCTATACAAATGTATTTTAAAATTAATCGATTTTAATATTACTACGATACAACCAAGAAGAAGAAAAAAAATAAAATCAAATTACATAATGTACGTATGAAAACAAAAAATATATATATT